CAGGTGCTGCCTTTATTTGCCCGGCTCATTATTGTATCATCTCGAGCATCGTGCCCTTGTGTGTATATGGTTGATCGGTTGGTTCGTTGGCTGGTTGCTTGCAAACGTGCAGAATTGGAGTCGGTCAGCACCCCCGGCCATCTACCACTGACGAAAGCCACGAAGCCAGGATCAAGTGTCTACGGGAGCGCCGGCAGGAGGCAGAGGCACGGTGAACATGCAAGGCTAGGAACGTAGCATGAAACATGCTCATGCTCGAAGGCATGTGAGAGGACCTTTGTGCGTTCGAAAGGCTGCTGACATGTTCGTGTATGTACAATCCGCGCGCATGCAGCGGATATGGGCGTGAGAGTGGCGTGATCACGTCGTCAGCTGTAGAAGTAGCAAGACGGTTGTGTGGCCCTGACTCTTTTCTAGGCATCTCCTGTCGGCTTCGTCGTACTTAGCATAGTGCAGCTATCTGTTTACCGTGGACCCAACAAGTGTCAAGCTGTTCGACCCCAGCCTCAAGCTCGAAGCATCCGGGTTGCAGCACGCGACGTCAGACAGATTTAAGGGCGGCTTCATCCTCAAGCCCGATAGCCGACCGCTTAAATCGGGGTGGGCGAAACATCTCGGTTGAACCACAGGAGGCAGCAGCACGGCAGCGGCGGCGAAGCTCCGAGGAACGGCTTCATGCAAAAGTTGCCAGTAGGGGGGATCTGACCAGTGTCAAGCACATTCTCAGCGCTCGGGTCAGAGAAAAGAGGGTCTGTCTGGGCTTATGCTGCAGCCAACGAGATTCATGACTGAGCCCCGTAGCTTGAGACCCAGGACACCTGACCATTGTCGCAGCATATCACCCAAGCTGATAATCTGCAGGAGTCGAGCACTACTCCTCGATGGCGAGGGCCTTAGTGGCAGATGCGTACTCGGCCTTCAGCTACGAAGAAGCATGCGAAGATGCATTCCACCATGGTTTGCTTGCGACTTGCTTGCCTTGTTGCATTCTTGTTTTGGTTGGTTTACCGGGTACTTGAAAAGCGAGGAAAGAGACTTGTGAGCTCCGGGGCATAGTCTCATTGGCCTTCACCGTTCGTTAGCCGTAAATGCAGCAGTGGTCACCTCAAGTGTCCTCAAGTCTTCTTTCGCGTTTATTTCGGGTGCAGGGTCAGTCTCGGGAATTGGAGCTCGAGTCTCACAGCTGCGCTTTGGGGTGTTTGGGTTTGCTTGCTTGCATGTCTTTTGGTGGGTGCAGCCGCATCCTTCGAGTGAGCACCGGTTGCTGTGGCGAGGGTCGCTCTCGGAAGCCGGTGGGCGGAGCTGCGCCCGTTTACGGCAGGCAACGGCTGCATGAGGAGCACAAAGAGATCAGCAGTCGCAAGGCCTGTCCCGGATTCGCCGGGAATCTTGAGGGTTCGAGCTTCTCTCTGCGGGTGGGTTGCATGGTCCAATCATGTGCTTTCGTGCAGTTCTCGGCGGAAAGCCTAAGATGACAGCATATCAAACTACCGCTGCATGGTTTCAATCGGAGATGGAAGCTGTCGAGAGATCATTGATGCTTGTTCGCTTCGATCCGAGCTGAGTCCCCAGCTCTCGAAGCCCTTGCTGCCAGAAACCTCCTTCCCCACTGAAGACCCTTCAAAGCCAAACGCAAGAAGTCTCGAACGAGCGTGCGACGTTGTTGCTTTGCAGGCAGCACTCGAGGAAGAGTGTCGGCGGGCAGCAGACGAGGAGGTCTGAGTATCAGAGAGCCAGGTCTTTTTGGAATCGTGTGCACATGCGCTGTGCGCTTGCTTTCTCGGGAGTTGAGGGAATAACGGAAGCAATTTTTGAGTGATCACGCATCCACCCAGTCCCCGCAGCAGTCCAGGCATAATCCGTCAAACCTACCCCAACAACCTCAACCTTGCGACTGCAACACACAGCAGGGACTCTTCAGATCAGGCGGTGACGGAGACCTGTACTTCCCTCGTAATTTCACATAACGTGGACATAGGCCTTCCGGCTATGTCGCCCCAGAACAGGCCTTTGCTAAATCTTGCGAGCTCCTCGCAACGGAGCATGCGGCCCATATCCCTCCGTTTCGGTCGTGCGTTTCGGAGGCGAAAGCTCTGTTGCACCAGGTGATGCGACTTGGCTGTCAGCAACAGACCGGCAGCCTGTTGACTTCTGCTCTTGCATGCATAGCAACATGGACACGCATGTGCAACTGTTTGCCTTCACTGTCCTTTGTGTGTCTATACGTTTACACACATATGTCTTCCTCCTATGTGCGCGTACATGCGTGCATATATTTACATACATGCACGTCACGGACATTTTTGAACACGAAGACACAGCAGAGAGCTCGAGAGACATAGAGGTGTTGCTCTGTTCCCTGATGCTGTGGTTAGTGACTCGGTGCGGAAATTAGTACTACACTGCCCAACCCGTAGAGTTCCTTCAACAGAGGGTGTGAATCAACCCCACACAGGGGCGCTCTTAAGCCCTGCGAAAGTATGTGAGAGAGAGTGTGAGGGGGAGAGAGAGAGAGAGAAACCCCTACACCCTAGCCCTGGCGAAAGAAAGAAAGAGACAGAGAGAGCTGCCCACTCCTCTCACCCCGAGCAGCAAAAGAGAGAGAGAGAGAGAGATACATATATATATATATATATATATGTATGTATGTATGTATGTATGTATGTATGTATGTATGCATACACACTCACGCACGTGCACACGCACACGCTCACGCTCGCACACAAACACACACACACACAGAGACAGCCACCCACCCACGCACACACCCACACGCACGCACGCAGACGCACAGACAGACACACACACACACACGCACACACACACACACAAACACGCACCCAGACACACAGATACACAGACACACACACACACACAGACACTCACACTCACACTCACACTCACACTCACACACACACACAGACGCACACGCACACGCACGCTCAACCACGGCAGATCTGAAATCTGTTATTGGAGATTCTGATGAAGTGAGGCCGCACGGCAAACTTCCGGCTGAAGAGGTAGATCGGATTACCGAGCGGCTTTACACAGCTAGCCTGGCGCAACTGGGGCTTAGAAATGATTTGTGGATTCATGTGGATGGCTCCGGTGCTTCAGGTCCGGGAGGCAACTACGAATAAGTTCCTTCCTTGACTCAGTATCACTGCCAAAGCGTGCGCATCTCAACCCCTGACTTGGACCCCCAATTGCAGCAGCCGAGGGAGCGCGGCCGCCGCAGGGACCAGGAAAAGAAGCAGCACGAAGCTCGAATGGCCAGGCAGGCTGATTGCAGATACGGTTCTGGGTCGAGGCATTTCCAGCTTTGTGGCGGTTCGGTGGGACTTCTGTTCTACTCCATGGTCTCAATGACTTCCACCCGACATGTGCCCAGATGCTGAAGTCACGACAGCGGGAATCCCACACGGTGCAGATAAACACAGATGGGGTTCTCAAGGCCCTAAGCTTCGCAGGACGTGTTGCTTCGTGCCGAATGCGGGCAAGCCTGTGTCCCCGGTGCCCGAGACGTTCCGTGGGGTGGCGCTCTATGCAGCTGAGCGGAAGAAGGGATGGCTCCGTGCGTGCACAGCTACGTAACGGAAGGTTTTGACTTCAAAGCTTCTGCTCGGATTTGCAGCACCGTAATTTGCTCCCGTGTATCCAGAATGAAGGTGTTGTCGGGGATATGGAACCATGACAGGTGCATGTTTCCACAAGTGCGAATCTTCTCTGCTGACTCAAACCATCATAACAAGCACAGCTCAATTTCGAGTAGTGAACCAGTTGGAAGGAGATACCTTTGCACAGGAGAATTACATGCGGAAGGTTATCCGCCGTGCCGCGGCTGAGAAGCAGCTTGGCTGACCCAAGGTCGGGGGAGTCATGCCGTGGGACTTTGACCAGACAAAATTAGGCACGTGTCATCCCAAATGTACTTGACAAAAACAGCCCTGCACGGATCCAAGCGACTCGCGGGACGCATCTAGCCACATAACTCCATAATCTGCTTTGTGTGCTGAATGGAGATGCCGCGTTGTGCTAGAAGCCCTCAATGCCGTGTGCTTGACTTTGCTTCAGAACTAGATGGGTGGTCCGGCGGATGCTCGAAAGCCCGAAAGAAGCTTTCATCACAATCCTCCCAAGTTATGCCGTGGCTTAGGGGCCGCCTTGAAGTTGTGCATGGGGCACAGATGCGGGATCTGGGGGATGACACCACTGCAGGGATAAGTAAGTTGAACACGACTTCGGTTCCAGCGGCGAACCCTGGCACTCCACCATCCCGAGGTCGGAGGCGGCTGCCAATGCGCCTCGAAACATGAAGCCGAAGCCGTTTATCAGGATGACCAGCATCGGCAGCATGAGAAGCATCATTACACATGTTTGAATGCATCAATGCTGTCTTGCTGGAGATTGCGAATGGGATTGTTCTGGCTTGATAGGCCCGGAAAACTAGGGCAATTGCCGCTCTTAGATGTTCTGCAGTTCTCAGTGAATGGCAATAGTCATTTCCATGGCTTCATGTGGTTGCGGGATTCTTGTGCCAGCTCCCATGCCAGGAGCACTGTCTACATACCTGGCGTATCACCGTCACCCACCTCAGCTGCTGCAACGGCCGCTGGCCTTGATCAAGCGGATCAGATCTCGCCACAGCTTGCAGCTCTAGCTGCGGAGACAGCAGAGAAGCTCGCGGCTCAGAAGAGCTTTGGCGGCAGATGAAGGTTTCTCAAAAGGGCGAAACGGTTTCGACTGCTGTAATGAATAAGTGGGTCGTCTTGTGGCGCTGCTCCCCACGAGCTATCGCGACCGATCAACACGCAATGTGCGAATTCAGCATGTCTTCGTTCTTCTTAGACTGCCTGTGCTGACTGCGCCGTTCGACATGCAAGGACATCGGCATGCTCAAAATCATGATTCCTGCAGCCGGTTCTCTCAAGCAAGCCGGGGAGTCCGCAGCGGGGGTCCTTTCAGCTCACAAGCAGCTTGGGGTCGGAAGCAAATGTGCCATGAACACACGCGTGATTGTGCTTTTTAGCCTGGCTGTCATCGCTGGAGTCCTTTGTACATCTTATCTTCCTGACTTGCAGGGACTACCGTCGGAGCTTGGTGTCTCTGATCGTGTTGTCACTGCAGCCGGGTTCGTCTCAAGTGGAGCATCTGCTGCTGCCGGGCTACTATCCGGGGCAGGCTTGCTTTCTCAACCGGACGATGTCGAGTTCGCTCAGCCAGTCGACCACGAAGTGGAGCTGGACATACCCCCCGTTCACAGGTGCAACCCCTTTGATCATGTGTTGCTCGGCTCCAGTACAACTATCTATCACGGTTCGTCAAGCTCCAGGCGACACTTTCGGACTTGAAGCGCGGCCCATTGCCCGTATGGCTGCGAGCCTGGGTGCTTCCTGTAAACAAAGTTGTAACAGACAGATAGATGGACAGATAGACTGATCAGATAGACTACTTGGCTTTGCCAGAGTTCTTTTCGAGTATGACTCTATAAGAAGCAGTGAAAACAACCCAGGCTGGTCGTCAACCTGGAGGGTCCAGGAGGAGAAGCACGACGCAATCACATTCTGCGCGAGTTCGGCAAGAAAGGCTTGCGTGGAAGGTTCAAATTCTGGCCAGCCGTCAATTTCGGCACAGACGAAGGCTTAGCCGCGGAAACCGGGAAGAAGAAATGTCCATGTGACCCAAAGGTAGGCTGTGGACTCAGTCATAGGCGCATCTATGAGACCATGCTGGCCGAGCAGTGGGCATGCGCGACGATCTTTGAAGACGATGTGACCCTCGCCGATAATTTCACGACCAGGATAGAAAGTGCCATCGATAGCATCCCACCGTTCGACGTTATTCTGTGGGGGTTTTGCCCCGGTGGTTACAAGCCGCGTCATGGCCCTAAGGATCAAAGCTCAGTCCCCATACTTAGATACGGCTGGCCAGGTTCGTGTGTGCACGCCTACACCGTCAGTCTATCGGGTGCGCTTGTGTTAACTCAAGCAAACACGCCCGCCGTGGTTCCGCCGGATGGTGCCATGGATGGTATGCATTGGTATAAGGACAAAACCAGGCTGCACGTCGACCGATCTGGTGGAGTTATAACAGGCTCTTACTGGTTCGCCACCCCGCAGCTATCATGGCAAGGGGTGGAGGCGGACAACTTGGAAGGTGGAGTGTAACACCAATACACAATATGCAGGCCTTCAGCGTGAGTCTTGCCGTTTCACACTTCTCCCGCTCGTGTAGAGGGTGCAGGATGGCGACACGATGGCTGTGGAAATGGGGGGGGGGGGGGGTGCCAGTGTGTTCGTATAGGTGCGCGAAAGCCAACGGGTTCTCAACAAAGGATGCTGCTCCTTCACAAGTAAACCTTGCAAGCAGCAGCAGTCTGCTGCTTAACTGGGATGGGAATCATGGGAATGCATAGCGAATACATGGTGCAGCGAACGGAGGCAAACCGGAGGGAGGCCGTTCGGCTGCAAGCTCTTGCCACTAGTCGTTCATGCGTGCACCATCCGCACCTACAGCGGACCTTTCTTTCTCCATCCTCCATGCTGATGTCGATAACGTACCTTAGCCTCTGTCCAAAGTCTAGAGGTTGCTAGTACTTGCCAAGGCCCTATCACGAGTCGCAGAACTGGGTGCCCGCTGGTCGGACATTGTAGGACGAGCAGCACCGCATGACTTCCAGCCCCGGACCCCCAATCCAGGACCTGCGGTTTGATTTCTCGTATGTGCTTCCGCAGCGGCTCAACAGCCAAACTTGTTTCACAGAATCAGAAATGAGCAGCGTTGCAGTGCGATAGTTCCGGCTACCATCTCGTACAACGAGGCCTTTCAGTCCTAGCCCCAAGTCACTATAGTCCTATACGGCCGCTCATGAAGTGGAGATTGCTGGCGGCGCTCAGTGCAGCCATCATTCTGGGTGCGCTGTTTAGTTCGTATGTGCCGGATTTGCACGGAAGCCAGACAGGGCTGTCTCCCACCGACAAAATCATGATCAGCAAAGCCGGAGCCGTCCGAAGTATGGCTCAATCTGCTCCTGGTTTTCTCTCCGGTGGAGGCTTACTCGCAGCCGCAGAAGATGTTGAGTTTGCTCAACCTGTTAGCCACGATGTTACGCTGGACATACCGCCTGTGTTCAAATGCAACCCCTTCGATCACACGTGACTTTGCCGCACTACCCCTGTCCGGTTCTTCTAGACGGCAAAGTAAGCTTACCTGCCGTCCAGGCTGAACCCACATCAAACTTAATTCAAAGGCATGCCTTGCGATCACATTTCACACCGTTTCAGGCTGGTCGTCAACCTGGAGGGTCCAGGAGGAGAAGCACGACGCAATCACATTCTGCACGAGTTCGGCAAGAAAGGCTTGCGTGGAAGGTTCAAGTTCTGGCCAGCCGTCAATTTCGGCACAGACGAGCAGCTGGCCCGGGAGACTGGAATGAAAAAGTGCCCGTGCGATGCAAAGAAAGGATGTGCACTCAGTCATAGGCGCATCTATGAGACCATGCTTGCCGAGCAATGGGCATGTGCGACGATCTTTGAAGACGATGTGACTCTCGCTGAAAACTTCACGAGCAGGATAGAAAGTGCCATCGATAGCATCCCACCGTTCGATGTTATTCTGTGGGGGTTTTGCCCCGGTGGGGCCAAGCCCCGGCACGGTCCGAAGGATCAGAGCTCAGTTCCCATACTTAGATACGGCTGGCCAGGTTCGTGTGTGCACGCCTACACCGTCAGTCTTCAGGGCGCTCTGATGTTGACACAAGCAAACACGCCAGTCCAGACGCCCCCTGATGGAGCTATGGATGGCATGCACTGGTTCAGAGATCGAACGATGTTGCATATCGACAGGTCTGGTGGCGTCATCACTGGTTCCTACTGGTTCGCGACTCCGCAGCTGTCTTGGCAAGGGGTGGAGGCAGACAACTTGGATGGAGGAGTTTGAGCCGTTCCATGGCAAAGGAGTAGGCGTAGTTTGAGCTGTGCAGGCCAGGTGTCACCAAAAAGAAGCTGAATTTGCTGTTGCTTGCTGTTGCTGCACCGTGATATAGAGTCAAGCATGTTACGATTGGACAAGTGTGATTTCAATTCCGAGTAGTGGCTCCCTTGGGCTAACCTCGCTAGAATGTAAGTATGAAGTTGGCGAATAGATTCTCTCTCTCACACACACACTCTCTCTCTCTCTCTCTCGGTCTCTCTCCCTGTTCTTCCCTCCATGATTCCCAGCAGTTACCGTGTATAGTTACTAAACCGGCGGTTGACGTGTATTGAGATGGGAACGACAAAGCGGCAGTGTGGGCCTTTACAGTGAGAGCTGTATCTATGTATGATCACACACACACATGTGTTTGTACATGCACGGGCACACACGCACGAGCGCGCGCGCAAGCATACATGAAACAGCTGAACAACACCCGAAGCGACTAATTAGATACCCTTCCAAGGGACCTTGAACTACTTGGAGGCTTGTCGTTTCAACACTGGCAAGATTAACAATAAGAGTCGTCCATGTTCCCAGGAGAGCACGCTCGGAGTATGTGGCGATTCTGAATTGGCGCTTGGTGTTTATTCTTCCCTTTTTGGCGGTGTTACTTTGTTGGTGAATGCCACCCCTTCATGCCTTTTTGTTCAGCGCACTATGTCTCACGTTAGGTGGAGAAGCTCTTCAAATGGGGCTCGGAGCGCGAAGCACGGCTGTCTCGTCTGCGCAAAGAGAAGGAGGAGAAGCTGGAGGCTTCTATCCGACAGCCGGGGGAAGCTTTCAGTGTAGTGAGCCAAGTGTCGGTTCTTGCAGAGAATTTTACGGGGCCTGGAGGGTTGGGGAGAACGTAGCATGATGCAGCATGCACCATGGACAGACCAAATTGAAAGTTGTTTCCGGCTAATCGAGTCTAACTTGGGTGCTCACACGGACATGTTGCCACAGACACCTTGGTTTGTCATGAAGTCTGCGGCCACGGCCACGAAACTGTAGCAGACGGTGGCATCTGTACTTGCACAATCTTACAGATTGATGCCCCGAGGAGCTACTACTCCATTCCAATACACAGCTCTATATGTAATCGCTTCATCTCACTGCCTACTCCAGGCCGAGTTGAAGGCTACGTCGGTCCATGCCGGAGCAGGTGCCAGAAAAAGCGTGTATGGGTTTGTCAACTGTTTTTTTGCATGTGAGTGTGTGTGTGTGTGTGTACCACCCTGAAGCTCAGGGATAAAACAAGTCAAAAGGCAGGGGCCAGCGGAGAGGCAGGTAAATGAGTGCGTGTGCTGGCCAACGAAGACCGCACACGCGCGTTTGGGGACCTCTCTCCCTTTCCTCGCCGTAGAAGGCCCTAGAAGGCTCTGTGGGAGGCGGCGCGCGTTTGGGGGCCCCCGTCCCTTCCCTCGCCGTAGAAGGCTCTAGAGGGCTCTCCGTGGAAGGTGCGCACGTTTGGGGACGCCTCTCCCTTATTGCTCTGTGGGAGGCGCGCGTTTGGGGACCCTTTCCCTTCCGTGACCGTAGAAGGCCATAGAAGGCCTATAGACGGCTCTGTCGGAGGCGGCGCGGGTTTGGGGACCTCATTTACTTGTCCTCTTGTGTAAACGTACCTGCGAAATCATGCAAAGATCAGATACCCGTGCTCCTGAATGCAGCATCGTCGACTATACAACTGGCGTTGAAGAGTGACAGCAGCATACATGCGGTATGCTCTCTCCTATTATACAACTTGCGCTGGAGAATGACTGCAGCATATGTGACGTATGCTTTCCGACTATACAACTTGCATTGGAGACTGACAGCAGCGTACGTGAAGCATGTTCTCCTACCATACAAACTGCAGCATACGTGAAGTGTGCTCTCCTTCATGCAATGCAAGGATAAGGGAACTCTCTAAAGTCTCCCCACTCATGCACACACCACAAGATCAGATAACACAAAAGCCAGATAACAAATGCAGGAATGTGTAGTGCTTTTGCTGCAATTTCACCTCACGAGTGAGGTTTGTCGATGTTCGAATGTGTAGTCTTCGCAGCGTCATGTCATGAGTGAGGTTTGCGAATGTTGGAAGGTGTAGAGTGCATGTTGCTCATGTTTGAACAGGCACACCTGGTAGGCGTGTTACCCCTTCACACAGGCAGCTGTGTGTGCGCGTGTACCACCCTGAAGTTAAGGGATATAGTAAATCATAGTAAATCGAACAGCAGGGGGCCAGCGAAGAGGCCGGTAAGATGAGTGCGTGTGCTGGCCACGAAGACCGCGCTCTCATTCACCTGCCCTCTCGCGTAATCGTACCTGCAACATAATGCAAAGATCAGAAAAAGTCTTGAGTGCAAACCGGACAAGATCGAAAACCAAGTCGGATAAGATCGAAAAGATGAACAGAAAGAGATGAAAATACTGTTCTGGCTTGCTAACCCAGATATGATTGCGATCATACCGCATGGGTCAATCCATCCGTGTGTGTGTGTGTGCTTACATATGTTGTATGACGTGTATATGTACTAAGCTTGTACCTGTCTGTCTATAGGGTTTAGGTGCCAGACAGACCGTGCATGGGTTTGTTAACTGTTTGTTTGCATGTGTGTGTGTGTGTCCGTACATATGTCGTATGACGTGCTTATGTACTTGAAATTGTCTGCATCTATGTAGAGAGAGAGAGAGAGCGTTGAGATCGAGCACCCCTTGCCACAGCCCTGGCGAAAGAAAGAGAGCGTTGAGAGCCCCTTCGGCGCTCAGGTGCCTCTACTCTTGAGCAAGCAAGAGAAAGAGACAGATTGATCGATCGAGAGAGTTTCTTTCTGGGTTCAATTTTTTGTTTACTCTCGTTCATGGTTCGACGCATTAAATCGTCCTCGCTTGCATATAGTCTCATATTGCAAACTAGAATCCGTAGGTACTGGTTCTGCATGTGGGTGTTTCGGTTCATCACGCAATAAAGGGAGTTGGGGTGAGCTTCATGCCGACCCGGAGAGACTTCTGCGAGCATGCGTACCTGTGGAAGGGAACCGAAGGTTACATAGGGTTCGCTGTCCCAGCAACGAGTTTTTTTGCGGATTTCTTTGCATGGCCCTGCCGGGTTGTCTCGTGGAGTTGCTTGCGAGTTTTCTCGCGGATTTTGCCGCGGATTTTCTGAAGATTCTTTCTCGGATCCCTCAAACATCCCCGCGCGCGCGCATTGTGCACTGCCGGCCAA